AATTAATAGAAAACTTGAAACAAATTTTTTGTAACACTAATTTTAAAAATTGCACTTAGTATATATGAAATAGTCTCAATTTTTATAAAAATGCAACATATCAAGATGTGGAAGTTTTCGACGTTATCTTCATCGCTCGTAAAAGTGGGAGTGTAGAACTGTTTCTGAATATTTTATTGAGTGATAGCTTGAAAGGAAGCGCCGATTCGAAAGAACTGATAAGAGATAATTTGTAGAGACAACTTCCTACCGACCAAAAGTCGACTCTGCAAACTTTTCCTTGTTTTTAACCGTTGCCTTGCAGTACTTAACTTTAAGAAAGTATAATTTTTATAGCAGACGATATCAGTACATCATAATACCAAAAACAAAGAGGCTGCTCGAACAGTCACTGCGGAGATTCTATATTAGTGATGTAACTGAGATGCCCCTGGAAAAGCCGGGCGCAACAATGCCAGGTCCATCGACCACGAGCTGCATATTTTTAATTGATAAGCACTCATCGCCTGTCTTGTAAAGCACTATGTTAGTAGCAAAAAATCGCTGAGTGAATGGTACTCTCGAAAAAGACAAGTGCTGTTTTTTCGACAAAACAAGTGGTACTCACTTGAAAAGAACAGGAATTTGAATACCTTTCAACTGAACTGATAAGAAAAGACGCCTATCAGGACAGAAGGTTCTGCTGGCGTAGCTGTGTCCGGCGTGGAAATGGTCATTTATAAGATTGAACTCCACACCGACATTACGGACTGCCTTTCTAATTTTGTTAGAAAATATTTGTCTTTATATGGAATGGAACAGTGACCGTCGCGAGAGAACAGTTACGCCCAGCATGTCAGCAGTCCATGACTTCTGCTGGCGTAGCTGTGTCCGGCATAGAAATGATCATTTATAAGATTAAGCTGTTGGTCAGCTGTGTTTCATATCGTTGCTCACTAATTACACAGCTGACAAAATCTTCAATTGCTTTGACCAGTGCTGCATCACCTGATGGTAATTTTCCTAGTGAATCGAATGGATTGCTAGGTGTTGGTATTTCAACATTTTGCTATGGATGACATTACTGGCCATCGTAGTGGATCCAGAATCTTG